TGAACTGAGGGAGCTGCAAAGCTCTTATGCCGAGTACACCCTGAAGAACATGTTTGAATGAAATGTTTTTTGCACCATCAAGTCAACTGAACTCCCTGAATTCCAGGAAGGAATGCAATAGCAAAGGCATTGTCTATCATTACATAGTTCTGAGCACTCTTAATCATGGATGGGGTAAAGTGCTCATCAGAGCAGTGCAACTAACACTGATGTTAAATGGAAAACACAAGCTTCTCCTCATTTCTAGTCCCCACTCAGCCATGAAGCTCACTTGGTGACTTTGGGCCAGTCACAGACTCTCAGCCCAACCTACCTCATAGGTCTGTTGTGAGGATGGAACTGAGAGAAGAATTATGTAAACTGCCTTGAGCTCCTTGAAAGGAAAAAGGTGCGATATAAATGTTATAAATGAATAAAATGTAGTATACACATTGCTACTCATAATTCATTTATTTCATAGTAATCTTCACATACAAGCAGTTTCCTGGCTCCTTGTAAGAAGATACAAAACCACTCCAGTGCTGTGCTTTCTCATTCTCTAGAGGGCGTGCTGAGCACACTGGTGTTTTTCTGGGACAGAGGTAAAAGGCAATGCCCTCAGTGTGGGTATGAGCTGATTTGGATTCTGCTTTATTCCTCTGACAAGAAAAAATGGAGAGTAGGTATGCTGGGATGTACAATCAATATAACATTTAGCTAACATATAGAAAATACATGCAGCATGTAGGCAGTCCTGAAAGGACTACTAAGATGTAGTCTGTACAAGGCGCTTTAATAGCCTGTCAGTTACTGCACAGTTTGGAGGAGGGTGGGGGATCACCGTGGCAGTTTGCTATAGGCACCTGAGAGTAAAACAATAGGGATGAATAGATTAAGATAGCACAGCACAAAGCTAACATTAGCATGTCTAAGATGGGACAGGCATATTAGCATATCTAAGATGTAGGTGGGGAGCAAGACTTGCAACATCGACCTGATTAGGTCAGGAATCCATCTTAGGTCTAAAGCTGTTCTTACAGTAGCAAGCTTTCAGCAGCCATATTATGGCAGACCATTTACTCATTTTCCTGACACCTCTTAATTCCAATCTATTTGTTTTCCCCATACAAGTGGCTCCCATTGACTTAGATGGGACGGCAAAACTTAGACCCAGTTAGGAAATAGTACAAAATGAAGCACTGAGGTAGTATTGAGGTAGTACAGAATGTTCCTCCTGTTTTAGATACCGGGGTTACTGAGGTCAGCATAGGAGACAAGTTTAGATTCCATTTGAATAAAAACCCTGAATGTACACTTTGATTTCTATTTCAGAAGGGAGTAGCTCCCATTGACTTCTATGACAGAAAACAGGAGGGATAGTTTCACTGCCAGTGGGCAGCCATGCTTCTGGTAGCAGAAACCCCTTCAGAAGGTGCAGTGTGTTGGTCAGGGGTCCTCAAACCTTTTGAACAGGGGTCCAGTTGAGAGGTGCTGGAGATGGGCGCAGGCCGCCAAGGCGGTGCAGGGGGCAAGGAGATCATTTTCTCCTTCTCCGAGGGAGTCCAAAACAATCTTGTGAGCAAGCCGGTGCCTTGCCACATGCATGCATATGCGTGTGCCCCAAACTTCTATGGTGGGCCAGATAAATGGGCATGGTGGGCCGGATCCAGCCCACGGGCTGTAGTTTGAAGACCCATGGTGTTGGTGAACTGTGTCATCCCTACACACACACACCAGGAATGCCTGAAATCTCTGATCCCTCTATGGCCAGTTATTACAACCAGCAATTTGCTGGTTCCTAAAATCCACTTTCTTGCATCTAAATGTGAACATAATATTCCTTTTTGTGCCATGATGCATGCATTATTAAGATACTTCAAAAAATCTTTGTCAAAAGATGTTACCAGATTACACTAAAGTAACTGGTTTATCTGGTTATATTTCAGTCCATGAATTTCTCCTTTTGCACTTAATATAAACCTTGTGTACATCTGTAGGCACATTAGAACAGGCCATGTAACACCAATGGGTGGGATATTACAACCATGTCCCACTTCTGAACATTTGTTACTAGTACGCACATTTCTAAACTAGAAGTGTTTACTCTTATATGACCTATATAATAATTATGCATTGTATTTGCCTGAGGCAGATCTACCATATACAGAAAACCTGGTGTGGATGATATTTACTCACGCTTTTTGTGATGATAGAATTGTGTTTCTTAATAAGTATCAATTAGCCATATGTTCAGTTTAATCTATTCAAGGAAAAAAGAATAGTAAGTACTGTTTAGTATGCATGTCTTATTACCTTCAGGGCAGCCATACAAAAGAGAGCAGTGTGAAGAGAATTTCCCTGTTGTGAGAGAAAGGTAGTTATGGGGTCTGAAGATGAAGTAGCCCTCACATATAGTTCCTGCATTTCATAACATTGCACATCAGTAAACACTCTGTGTGGATTTCCATTTCCCTTCAGAGCCCCATGTCCTCCGTTTATTTTCTCTCTCCCTTTTTCTCTGTTCCATGTCTTGTATGTTTACATCATTAGCCACTTTCTCCACCATGATGGTCAACCTTATTATCTGTTCTTAGATTAGATCCCTAGTATAATGCCCACAGACACTTCCTTTGGTGTCTGCCAAAGCTCCGTGCTTCTCCATTTGCTGTTTTATGGCTTATTAAAAAACCATCTGCTTCCAGTGCACTGGAAAGCAAAGCAAGAGTGCCCAGTAGTACCACTTTTGTCCATTCCTTCCCTCTGAGACTCATATGGGCCCAGCAAGATGCTTAGGAAAAGAGGCTAATGGTTTGTTTTGCTGTGTACCAGGTAAAAATACCTTTTCAAAAACAAGATGCCCTCCCCCAAACACACACACTGCTGGCTAAACTTGGGATGAGGGTGGAACAGGATAGCAGAAGGCATTTGTTGCTCCCAGGGACAACACAGAGGCAGAGTGGGGGGTTAGGGGGGAACTCACAAGGAACTGAGGAGAGTGAGATCCAATAGCTGTGAGGAAAGCAGTGAGCAGTTTCCTGGTATGGTGGACAGTAGAAAGCATCCCAGAGGCAGGGGAATAACAGGATGTACTTCGTCTGTGAAATATTAATGGAGTGCATGTGTGTATTGGTTGCCTGTGGCTTTTGGGTGTATCAGTTGAGTATTACCCATTTTCCTTCCATGAGTATTTTTACTGGATTTCAATTCCTTACAATGGAGTCGTGGTGCTATGGGAACAGATAATATTTTTCTCCTGCACCTTTTCCCCAATTTAGATGCCTCCCACAGACACCCCACAGTTACCCATACAGGGGGAAAGGGACAGATAGGGTATGAGCACCTTTCTTCTACCAGTGGCTAAAAGTTAATTGTGCAATCCTATGCAGCTTTAGACCAAAAAAGCCTACTACAGGCTGGGACATGTTGGGCATTGTGGACCCTTTTTCTGTTTGAACTACCACAGGATTGCACCGTAACCTACAAATCTGGAAGTCCCTGATTCAAACCGTACCTATGCGGTTTAGAAAAACCATGCTTTCCTCCCACGTTTAGCCCCCGCTTCCCAACAGGGGAAATTGTAATGCTGAGTTTAGCATTACACACTTATGTAGGTCTAAGTGCTTTATCAATGCTGCACTGATGATAAAGAGGAGGACACTTTCTTATGGGCTATTTGAGAAGTTCATTTGTTTTAGTGTTTGCGAATTCAGAACCCAGTGTCCTCATTATCAGTCTGGAGTGAAAGCGACCTTGCATACGTGGCACGAATCTCCTCCTCGTTTCACTTACTTCGGCATTTGAAAGATGCTCTCGGCGACGATGACGAGCAGCTGAGTCAGCCTCATTGCGGTGTTGCCACGGCAACAGTTGCCGGGGGCGGATGGAAGGCTTCATGGCATTCCCTCCCTCCCCATGCAAACCATAGAGATACGAACGCTTAGAAGGGAAGATTGAACCCCCGGGAAAAAGTGAAAGTCGAAATTAACTACTATTCTCTGTTCAGGCAGAGTGACATAGTTCTATACCTTAGCATCTAGGTAGTGAAATTCTTTGTTTTGGAAAGTATAATGAAAAATAATCGATTCAATTTCAAACCGGAAGTTTCGATATGTTAACGAAACTGATAGGAGTCGATATGAAAAAGTATTTCCAATTTGTAAGTCTATATTCCATGCCAATAACCACCTAGGCCGCAATGGTGGCCGCAAGTCCATGTGATCCGCAGAAGGGAGAAGCTGGTTCAGCCTGCGGTTGGCGCTCCGTTCGCTCCGCCCACTCCCTCTCTGAGCAACTCCGGAAAGGGAGGAGAAAGGGACTGAGAGCAAGTGAGTACGCGTGGGTGGCCGGGCCTCGCCTCAGCTGACCATGGCGCCCAATGGCGATTTCATGGGGGTAGCCGAAGACCTTGCAGATCAGGTACACCTTTCCTCCCCTTCCAATGCCTTGGTCCGTTGAGCTGGATGAAGCTTGTGTCGGGACCGTACAATTATGTTTAAGGATAAGGAGGGCCACAGGAAGGTACCATTTACCGCATTCTTCCTCCTCCTTTTCCTCTTGCACGAGGAGACTGGCAGATTGGAGTATACCATTCAGCCGGCGTCGTGGGGGTGGGGACCATGAAAGCTCTTGTTAGCGTTTGATATTATTTGCTGTGCCCATGAGGGCTGTGAAGAGCGGTGATTCTTCGGAGAGATGGAAGCTGACATCCTTGGCAAATCTGCCTCCCATTTAGTAGAGGACTCTCTGGGTGACAGAGTTAAAATGAAACCCGTTCTGGCATCACTGAATCTGCTTAAACGTTTAATTCTTGCCATTTGTATGGTGCTGTTCACAGAGAGTTTTGTGTACAGTGTAAGTTATCTTAAATCCCCCAACAACAGCCTTGCAAGGTAGGGCAGTATTAATATCCCTCTCACATGTCGTAAATGGGAAGGGAGGCTGAGAGATGACTTGCCTAAGATGCCCTCCCCCTGAATCCACTATGCAGGTGAGAACTGAACCAGGGATTTCTTGGTTCACAGCTCACTTTTCTAGGTGCTGCTGCTGTGACACCTGGACAGCTGTTGAAGTCTAGGCTTTTCTACTGTGCTGGGGAAAGTATCTCTTTCTGGAAAGATGAAGAGTGTTTGAGTGATGCGATCCACCCCTCTGTAGAGCAAAGTGTAGTTCCAGTGCTCAGTCTGCTTCAGAATACAATGCTGGCAAAAATTAATTTAAAATTTAATGCTTGGTAGATTAAAATAGTATCACAGTCTTGGGCTTAGCTTTAAGAAACTTGAAGTAAATTCCAGACCCTATTCTGTTGCTGCTTAAAAGCTGCACTCCATAAGTGTCTACTATCCTGAGAGTTATCTCTTTATTGACCTTTGTGTGTTAGGATTGCAGCAAGGGAGTTGTCTCCACATTTGCTCCACATTTTCATTGTATCATTGTAATGTTTCATTTACTGTTTTTATAGAGATATATATTGAGCAGAGCTGTAGGTGTATTGATCTGGCCCTTAACAACTGTCAAAGTTTCTCATGTGGCCCCATAGGAAAATTAATTGCCCACCCCTGGATTAGAGAATACATGAGGATTAATGTCTTATCTGTTAATGTAAGCTGATGTTTTGATCTACTGCTAATACTTTTGAAAAGCTGATATTCATGCAAGGCAGGTATATTAGTTTGCAGTGTGACCTATACATAAACATTTGGATGTTGGTCCCACTGAGTTCAGTGTGGGTCTTTTTTGCATATTTGCATAGGATCTCAGACTTGCAGCCCATTGCCAAGTGTAATTGAAAGCCATAGAGTCTAGCCTCAGGACAGCTATTTGTGAGCACAACCATAATAGTTTCTAGACTAGAAATTAACAACTGGTGATGGTACAAATTTTAGTAACACATGATTAGAATGGAGAATGGTGACTTGCCTACAGGTGGATTTGATTTAAATGGATTTAAATCACAAGAAAGTAAGACTAGATTTAAATCATGGTTTTCTGCTAATTTGCATGCGTGCATGCATTACCTGTAGATGAAGGAACTTCTTTTAAACATTTCCAAACTGGGTCTCCTGTACAGCCTGCTTCTATTACAGGTTTTCTCCAGGGAAAGAATAATTAGAAAAACCTCAAGCTATACAAAAGATTCAAAGACTTGCAGAGTATTCTGTTCAAAAGGGTTCCCTTTTATTTTTACTGCTTGCCCCTCCCTCCTTACACTTAGCTTCTTGTTCAAATCTATTCCACTTCCAACAATCTTCTTCTGTTCGCTGACTTTTTTGAAACTTAGTACTTAAGGGGTTAAGGATTCTGTGTACCTAGATTTGCACAGGAACAATGGGATTAACATACAGTTGAGTTTTTCTCAACTTTGTATAACATTTTTGCTGTGAAGAAGAGGCACATGATCTCTGCGGGCACAAATTAACAGTTTTGAGAACTGTAAAATTGCCCAGTGATCTTACAGAAACCTCTGGAAGGGCATGACATTGTGAATGGATTAATGGAATTGGATTAATGGAATTCATTTACCAAAAAATGTAAACATTGCATGAATATAGTGACTCATGCTAAATAATTGAAAACTAATCCATATTTCTTGATGAATAACTTTTGGATTATAAAGTATCTTAAACAGAGAAGTATCTTAAGATGTTTCCTCAAATGCATTTTATTTTAAAAATCTGATTTAATTTTTTAAAATCCTTTTTTCTTTTGAATCACTGCTTTTCATCTACCTTGCTTGCCCATTTGTTCTGGCTTGGTGCATCTCTGAGACCAATGTCTGAAGTGTGAAACAAGAAGCATGAGCAACTTGCATTTCCTGTTATCTACATATAGTGTAACTTCTAAAGTTGCTCTTAAATTGAACTTAGAGCTGTCAGTATTTAAAGACTTTGTCAGTTAATTCTACGATGTTTAGCTGAGTGTTCAATTAGATCTACGTATGCTCTTCACATGAATTCATGATTCTGATGGGAAAAGTTACACCATTACTTGCATATGTTGCATCAGTCTCGATTTAGAAGAAGCCTTCCCTCTGCACAAGATAGAAGCAGGAATGCCTCTTTTAAAGAGGTGTCTGTCATCCATTCTTTGTATATTCATTGAAAATAATTGATTAAATATTGCAGCCCTGCTTCAGCCCTGTATTGCTGATAAGTACAGATGTCTTAGGGAGTTTGGGGGAAGAAGGATATCTAACAAGGCTAGTGATCCCTGCAAACCAGTAAAGCAAATTGGGAGAGGCAGGAAAAGAAAACCCTCTCCTTACAACTGGCAAGAGCCATGAGTTGTGCTCATATGCTTTATGCTGCCAGGGAATATGCTGAACTTCCTGGCTGGTGAAAGAGTCAAGTTGAAGGACAGTCTTCTTTGCCAGCCAAAAGGACCCACTGGTGGTGGTACACTGACCCTGAATAATATAGAGTGTGTTCTGGAATGGGTTTATTATAGGAAAAAAGATCCAAGGGTGGTGGTATGTTGACCCTAACCCATATGGAGCATGTTCTGTAATGCATTTAATTTATATTTATTTATTTATTTATTTGGGTATTTTTATCCCATCCAATTATGACATGTCTCTGGATGGCTTAGAAAAGGATCTAAGGGTGGTGCATTGACCATGAACCATATGGAAGCCAGTACTCCTTTCAAGAAAGACAGTGAAAAGTGCTTCCATGTTACAACTGAAAGGAAGGAAAACCTAGAGTGAAGCACTCTTCCTGCAGATCCTGCTTCCCCTTCCCTTGTCTCTTTTCATGAAGCTTGGTTACATAGCTTTGAGCCCCTAAAAGGGCTCATGGTGTTGAACAACGGTATTAATTGGTCCTAAAGAAGATGCAAGAGGATGAATGAGAGCAGGGAGAGGCCTTTAAAACCTGAAGCCCAATTCAGAAGTGCATCTGAGTAAGTAAATAACAAATAAGCAAGGTGAGAAAGGGAACTTCCAGTTGAACCAGGATTAAAGCTACAGATGGGTATGGGTTTTTTGTTTGTTTGTTTGTTTGTTTGTTTTTTGTTTCTGCCTCCTCTCTTTTCAGGTAGCTTTCACAAAGTAGCTGGTGGCATACAGCTGCTGTGACTCAGGAGATGTTAGGATGCTCTTGTTCTGAAACATTGGATCATCTATTTTAAAAAATCAGAGATCTGAATGTAGAAACTGGCTCAAAATGGAAGGCTAAATGTGTATTTTTCTCCTCTTTCAGGTTTCTTTGTTTCAAAGCTTGTCTGCATTACCATGAGATGTAGAATTACCACACTCTTGCTAAATCAGCACATGCGTGCTTAGAATGAGACAAACCAATGACTATGCCACTGCAACATTATGTTTAATGATATGGCGCTGACTGATACCTAAGCAAAAAAGGGCCTGCTCTAGCTTTGTGATGTCCTTTCTAGGGGATCTGCACAGAAGAAAGTGCACTCGGTTCACTTCTTTCAGCTGACTATACAGAGTGGTGTTTAAGGTGGTTTACTTGACTTGTAAAAAAATCTGTATTTGCTCTGAAGAGTAGTTCCCTTCCAGCTCTGAAATTGTATGAAAAGTTTGTTTTGAAATCAGTCCAGATATTATCAGTGACTTCCATAGTATAGTCACACTGAGTAAACCTTGCCTGTCGTTGCCAACATTATCTATCAATTCTTGGTTGTAAAGAGTTTATTTTGGCTTTTTGTTATCTTAAACCTGAAATACAACTAGATTAAAATGAAGCTGATTGCCTGGAAGGTACAGCTAGAGAGGGAGAAAACATGTACAATATCTTGGCAGTTTTCTTTGTTCAGTGAGGCTGAGGGGTAGGACATAAGGCTCTATGGCTGGACTTTGGAATTACACCTGCTGGCTTGTATGATATCCAGAAGAGATAAGCAGGTGGGCTACCAGAGAGCTTAGTTTCCTAAACAAGGCATCTGGTAAATAACTTGTACCCTGTGTAGAAATACTTCTCGTCCAAGATTAAGTACAACAAAATGCTGCACAGCAACTAACTGCTGTGATTAACAATATCAATGATGTAATTTATTATATGAAAAAGGAAAATATAATCATGCAAAACAGTATGACAAAGTCCATATATAAAGAAAGGGAAAACATGATTGAACTTTGAAAATATGGAAATAAGGATGAATTTGGGGATGTATAATCTGGGAATGCACAGGGGGGAATCTGGAGAGTGCCTATTTCAACAGTCTTCCAAAAAATGTTCATGGGGTGTTATAGCTTGCAATGACTTTTACTAGCTTTTGTGGTCAGTTTGTCAGTTGTTTTGTTTTTTCATGTTGATCTTGCTTAAGCAAGCAGCACTAAAAAGGAAACAACTGACAAGCTGACTTAGCAGGAAGAACATCTGATATGCTTGACCTTAGTAAATTTTAAACTGTGGTTTAAATGGAGAAAGAACTCATGCTCCTTCTGATGAAGCTTTGTCAAAATTTCTACCCTACCAGATGCTCATTTCTGCATTCTCAGATTGTGCATCTTTGAATGGATCTCCACTTGTGTATTTTGAAAGTTTCGTCTTATTTGTATTTACTCCATTTTCGCACATGGGCTATGTGGTGCTGTGTTTAGCATAATTGAATATTCACCACTTGTATAATACATTGTACCTTTGATATTGTTAATCACAATGGGTGCTTCTTAGCATTTTTGTGGGGTGGAACTGTAAATCTCCAATTAGACTTTAAGAACCTAAGTTTATAAGGAAAGCCATGCTGGATTGGAGCAATGGCCCATCTAGTTCAGCATTCTGTTCACAAAGTGGCAAACCAACTACCCTCAAACAGGATAGGAATACGACAGCTTCCTTCCACGCAAGCTCCCCAGCAGCTGATGAACACAGGCATATTGTTTCTGATATTAGAGGGAACAGTTAGCCATCAAGACTAGAAGCCACTGATCACTTTCTCCTCCATAATTTGTCCAATCCTTTTGTTAAATGTCCTCCTGTGGCACATGGTTTAGCTCTGCATTTTCTGAAGAAGTATTTTCTCTCCTCTCTCCTGAACCTTCCCCCACCCCAGTCAGCTTCATGGGATGACCCATAGGAATAATATGAGAAAGGGAGAAAAATGTCTCCTCCACACCACATGTTATTTTGAACACTCCTATCATGTCTCTCCTTATCTTGTTCTAAATTAAGCAATCCGAGTTGTTGTAACTGTTCCTCATAAGGGAGTTGCTCCAATCCCTACATCATTTTAGTTGTCCTTTTCTGCATATTTTCCAATTCAATCATGTCCTTTTTCACCAGCCGCAACCAGAACTGTAAACAATAATCCACGTGCATTCACATCAAAACTTTGTATAAGGGGAATACAGTCTTGGCAGTTTTATTTTAAGTGTCTTTCCTAATTATGTCTAACATCAACTGTGCACTGGATTGACATTTTCATCAAGTGGTCAACCACAACCCCGAGGTCCCTTTCTTGATTAGTCGCCACTAGCTCAGATCCTATTGGCTTATACTTAAAGTTGGGACTCTTTGCATTATTGTATACTTGATTATGTTGGCATTTCATTTGCCATTCAGATGCCCATTCTCCCAGCTTGGAGAGCTCCCTTCAGAGCTCCTTATGGTTTTGATCATGCTAAATAGTTTTGTGTCATCACCAAACTTGGCCACTTTACTGCTTGCTTCTTTAGGATTCCAGGTCATTTATGAAAAGGCTGAAATAAAATTGGTCCTAATGCAGAACGCTGTGGGACCCTGTGGAAAGTCTTAATAGGTTAGTGAGATAGGACTTAACCTCGCTGAAGCCATGTTGATTTTTTCCAACAGAATCTTGTTCCTTTCTATGCTTATTGATTCTATTTTAAATGATATCTCTTCAGCTAATTTACTCAGAACAGACATTAAAGCTAAACAGCCTGTATATTTTTGTATGGTGGTCAGCAATTTTATATTTTAGTTCTTTAAGAACTCTAGGATGGATCCCATTTGTGTCTGATGATTTATTAATATCCAGTTTGTCAGTGAGGTTGAGAATTTAATCATTTGTCACCACTATCTGCCTTAATTCCTAAGATTCCATTTCTGAATACTTAAGTTTAGGCACAAGTAATGGTCCTGTATCCTCTCCTGCAGACACAGATGAAAAGAATTCATCCAGATACTCTGCAGTCCCTTATCCTTCTTTAGTGCACCTTTAACTCCATTATCATCCAATGGTCTGACCGCCTTGATAGGTGGTTTCCTTCTGGTACATTTTAAGAATTTTTTATTGTTGGCCTTGATGTTGTTAGCAATATGCTCCTCAAAATGTTTTTGTGACTCTTATCACCTGCTTGCATCTCCTTTGTGCAAGTCTGTGCTCCATTTGTTTTCCTCTGCATAGACCTATGTCAAACGTCACCGGAAGCTGCTGAGAAGCCCTGTGACTGATGCAAAAAACAAAGTAGACTGTTCATATGCATATACAAACTTGGCTTGGGAGTCTCAGTCTAATTCTTTACTAAAGAGAGCAATCAGTTATACTGTTTCATTTAGAAAGAGTGCAGCTCAAAGTATTCAGCTTTGGAAACTGATGCGAAATGTCAAAATTAAGGGATCTAGTGGTTAACAAGACAGCTGTCTATCCCAGCACCTCAGCTTATATACACAAGTTTAAATCTCTTGTACGAGCAAACTTCCTCTTCCTTTCCTCTCTCCTGTAGCCCCTCCTGACGTATCTTTCAGATTTGCTCTGAAGGGTTGCCCAAGCTTGCAGAACAGATTTCTGGGAGACCGTTCCCATTTAACTGATGTGGCCAGGATTGCATACAACACAGGTCTGAAAGGAATGTTAAGCTTCTCTGATGTGGGGGAAGTAAAGAGAGTGACTGGTGGGTTAACAACAGTTTTGTACAGAGAAGAGTGAGCATACCTTTCACCTTGAGGAAATGATGGGTTCCAAGAGCAATTTGATTCTGACCATGGCAGCAGGTTATGACATAACATCAAGACTCAGTTTATGCATCTATAAATGGCAAATATTATTCTCCCTCCCTGTTGAAACAGGTACTGTGGCTGCCTCCTGTGGGGCAGAAATATTCAGAATTCTTCTCTGTTTGGGTGGCCTCTATTGTTGCAGCCATTTAGAGCAGGGGTCCTCAAACTTTTTCAACAGGGGGCCAGTTGACAGGTGCCAGCGATGGGTGCAGGCCACCAAGGCGGTGGGCGCGGGCCACAAAGGCGGTGCCAGCAGGGGGGCGCGGGCCAGTGTGGGGATGGGGCGCATGCATGCATGCACATGCAAGGCAAGATGGGGGCAGGGGTGAGGCACTGGCTTGCTGGTGAGAAGATAGTTTTCTCCAAGTTAGTCCAAAACGACCTCCTCGTGAGCAAGCCGCATGCCCCCGTGCCCAGCAAATGCAAAACCTGAGGAGCGGGCTGGATCCAGCCTGCAGGCCTTAGTTTGAGGACCCATGATTTAGAGACACTCCTTTCTAATGCTGTCCTCCCTTCTTTCCAGTTCTTGCGGGTGACAAAGCACTACTTACCCCACCTGGCTCATCTCTGCCTGATCAGCACGTTCTTGGAAGATGGCATCCGGATGTGGTTCCAGTGGAATGAGCAGCGGGACTACATTAACATGTCTTGGGGAAGCGGTGCACTCTTAGCCACACTTTTTGTATTGATCAACATGTGTGGGCAGCTGGGTAAGAACTCCCTTTTTGGTAGTTAGGAAGAGGGGGCACTGATCTGATCTCTTCTGGAGGTCTTGCTGCAGCAGGTTGGACCATTCCCCGTGTTGGCCTTCTTGAAAAACATCCAGGGAATGAGTCATTCAGAAGGCATTATTCAGAATGCAAACATGATCCTTCCCCTTGCAGGTCCTGAGCCCTGGAAGCTGTTTCGGTATGAGGCAACAGCAGAAATCCACCAGAGCTGGGATAATCTGCACTAGAAAATAGTAGCTGTAAGGACATTCAGCATCATGACTTAGCACAACATATAACCTTGATCTAACAAAGCAACTTATCTGGACATTTTGCCAGATCATGAACATGTTCCCTGAGAGAATAGTGACAGCATGTTGTGGGGCAGATAGTTTCAGGTGGCAGGAAAAGTTGCAGTGGCCATGCTTACTGACTTGTGAAATTTACTTTGAGCTTCATGGGCAGGCAGTCTTCATTTGGAGAATTGTTGTTAGTCGCGAAGTCGTGTCCAACCCTTCGCAACCCCGTGGACAACATTCCTCCAGGCCTTCCTGTCCTCCACCATTCCCCAGAGTCCACTTAAGCTCATACCAACTGCTTCAGTGACTCCATCTAGCCACCCCATTCTCTGCCGTCCCCTTCTTCTTTTGCCATCTATTGTTCCCAGTATTAGGCTCTTCTCCAGGGAGTCCTTCCTTCTCATTAGGTGGCCAAAGTATTTGAGTTTCATCTTCAGTATCTGGCCTTCTAAAGAGCAATCAGGGTTGATCTCCTCTAGGACTGACTGGTTTGATTGCCTTGGACTGCAAGGCAATCAAACCAGTCAGTCCTAGAGGAG